CATTCCTGCAGTCAGCATGCCAATTGCACGCTCCCTCAAAACTTGAGACATCTGTGGCATTGTGTTGTGTGACAAAATTGCACATTTTAAGAGTGGCCTTTTATTGTCCCCAGCACAAGGTGCACCTGTGTAATGATCATGCTGTTTAATCAGCTTCTTGATATGCCACACCTGTCAGGTGGATGGATTATCTTGGCAAAGGAGAAATGCTCACTAACAGGCATGTAAACAAATTTGTGCACAACATTTGAGAGAAATAAGCTTTTTAGGAGTATGGAACATTTCTGGGATCTTTTATTTCAGCTCATGAAACATTGGACCAACACTTTACATGTTGCGTTTATATTTTTGTTCAGTGTCTAGCAATTATCAATATGATTTCCTATCATTTAAAATGGAAACTGCATGCAATGATACATACTTAAGTTTAGAGATAAAATACAACCCAATCTGACTGACACAGTGTACTTGGTTTTAAAACTAGGTTTTAATATTTCAATAATTTTCCCAAATTACCTGACACTGCTAACCTATGAATGGTGGTGTTGGGTAGAGGTTTGAAATGCATTCAATTCAATATTACTATCATTTCTGTAGAATGACCAGCACTAGAGTAGTATGATTGATATGGGTGTGTTTTCGAAAGCCGGGACACCCACAACATAATTTTTACTGCAATAACATAGAATGCCTACTTTTCCCAGCATGTGATCAGAAAACAAAACCCACTCTCAGAATATACCCATTGGACTTGGGGCTCTGCTGGGAGAAACAACCCATAGAAAGACGCCCACCTCTCTAGATCCAGAACCCCATATAATTCTGCACTCAACCCCTGTAATCTTCACATTAATTGCAGAGACAGACGCAGACCAGGAGGATGTCAATTTATGAGGCCTCCACCGTGTCCAGTGAGAACTTGGCAGTAAAGGACAAAGGCAGAAGCATAATATTCCACTTGTAAGTAACATTTCTTGACTATTATCCTGTTGACACTTCAATGAATTAGTCCTCTGCTGAGGTGAGGTTGCCATACTAAATTGTTCTAGTGAAACTGATCTGCAGCTGGCTGAAAGTTGATGCAGTATTACAACTCATTACTTGCTCAACAGCTTTGATGCAGTTGACTCAGAATACAGTTCATGACCTGGTGCATTCACGACCATTGGCCGTGCAGCATTTAGGGTGATACGGCTTCTGTAGAAGGCAGGGCATTTCTATTTCTTGCGCTTCGCGGAGGAACGCAGAGCTGTTGTGAAGTAAGTTGTCAAGGAAGTGAGTTTGTGTTTATACAGGACCTCCCGCCCCCACCTACCGTCAACCAATCATGTCAATACGGAGCCCTCCGCATTGTCACAAAATTTGAGAGGCGCACGGCGATGCGGTATGGAGCTTGATTTGGCCTCTGCATGCCTCCGGAGGCTCAGCAATTGCATCACACCCTTCATACAGTTGAAGTCGGAAGTTTACATGCACCTTAGCCAACTACATTTAAACTCAGTTTTTCACAATTCCTGACATTTAATCCTAGTAAAAATTCCCTGTCTTAGGTCAGTTAGGATCACCACTTTATTTTAAGAATGTGAAATGTCAGAATAATAGTAGAGAGTGATTTATTTCAGCTTTCATTTCTTTCATCACATTCCCAGTGGGTCAGAAGTTTACATACACTCAATTAGTATTTGGTAGCATTGCCTTTATATTGTTTAACTTGGGTCAAACGTTTCAGGTAGCCTTCCACAAGCTTCCCACAATAAGTTGGGTGAATTTTGGCCCATTCCTCCTGACAGAGCTAGTGTAACTGAGTCAGGTTTGTAGGCCTCCTTGCTCGCACATGCTTTTTCAGTTCTGCCCACAAATGTTCTATAGGATTGAGGTCAGGGCTATGTGATGGTGTCACGAGAATTTCTATCTCTAATTAATCAAACTTAATGCTCTGAATAATTCCCAGAGGGTGTAAATTCTCTGGTTTAATCATGAATTAAACAAAGGTCTGCAACCAGCAAGAATGATCTGTATTTTTAATCATGGAGAGCTCTGGCGCCAAAAAAACATACATACAGCTTTTATATCCCTTGACACACAAAGGCACTTGGCTCCGCCCACCTTTAAACCGTTTCTTAGTCCCCTTCACCCTGGAATGCTTTCTCAACAGTTTCTAACTTCCCCCCTCTGTTAGTGGGTTGACACTACATTATAACTCTAACATCGTTCACACATTTATACTGTATTTGGGGTGAAATCCTTTAGTCATTATTCTTAAAATACAAATTAATCTATCAGATGGCCACTCCAATACCTTGACTTTGTTGTCCTTAAGCCATTTTGCCACAACTTTGGAAGTATGTTTGGGGCGGCAGGTAGCTTAGTGGTTAAGAGCGTTGTGCCAGTAACCGAAAGGTCGATGTGCCCTTGAGCAAGGCACTTAACCCTAATTGCTCCTGTAAGTCGCTCTGGATAAGAGCGTCTGCTAAATGACTAAAATGTAAATGTCATTGTCCATTTGGAAGACCCATTTGCGATCAAGCTTTAACTTCCTGACTGATGTCCTGACATGTTGCTTCAAAATATCCATATAATTTTCCTTCCTCATGATGCCATCTATTTTGTGAAGTGCACCAGTCCCTCCTGCAGCAAAGCACCCCTACAGCAAGATGCTGCCACCCCTGTGCTTCACGGTTGGGATGGTGTTCTTCGGCTTGCAAGCAACCCCCTTTTTCCTCCAAACATGACGATGGTCATTATGGCCAAACAGTTCAGAGGACATTTCTCCAAAAAGTACGATCTTTGTCCCCATGTGCAGTTGCAAACCGTAGTCTGGCTTTTTTATGGCGGTTTTGAAGCAGTGGCTTCTTCCTTGCTGAGCGGCCTTTCAGGTTATGTCGATATAGGACTCGTTTTAATGTGGATAAAATACTTTTGTACCTGTTTCCTCCAGCATCTTCACAAGGTCCTTTGCTGTTGTTCTGGGATTGATTTGCACTTTTCGCACCAAAGTACGTTCATCTCTAGCATACAGAACGGGTCTCCTTCCTGAGCGGTATGACGGCTGCGTGGTCCCATGGTGTTTATACTTGCGTACAAGGATGAACCAGACTTGTGCAGGTCTACAACTATTTTTCTGAGGTCTTGGCTGATTTCTTTTGATTTTCCCATGATGTCAAGCAAAGAGGCACTGAGTTTGAAGGTAGGCCTTGAAATACATCCACAGGTACACCTCCAATTGACTCAAATGATGTCAATTAGCCTATCAGAAGCTTCTAAAGCCATGACATCATTTTCTGGAATTTTCCAAGCTGTTTAAAGGCACAGTCAACTTAGTGTATTTAAACTTCTGACCCACTGGAATTGTGATACAGTGAATTATAAGTGAAATAATCTGTCTGTAAACAATTGTTGGAAAAATTACTTGTGTCATGCACGAAGTAGATGTCCTAACCGACTTGCCAAAAGTATAGTTTGTTAACAAGAAATTTGTGGAGTGGTTGAAAAACGAGTTTTAATGACTCCAACCTAAGTGTATGTGAACTTCCGACTTCAACTGTACGTAGCCTCAGACCACATTTTTGGATCAAGCATAAATTGGCTTTAAGAGACATCGAGTTAGGTAATCTCTGCAACCCAGAAGAACCAAATGTTGTGTGACCTCAGGCCAGCTACTTGATTTGGGTCTGGAACCGGAGGATGTGATGTTGGGACTAGTGTGAGTGGCGAGAAATGGGTAGTTATTTTATGCAAGGTGATTTGTAGTTGACTGCAATGCAGTCGATGTTGAACAGGTCCACAGTCTTATGACAGGCGTCTGTCATAATGAAAATATACATTCAATTCCATGCATTCGTGCATAACAAATACCATGCATAATACTCTTGAATACTATAGTAATCTTAGCTTTTTTTGTACAATATTTCACAAAGAAATTATACATTTGACAAATTTCCTTGCCTTTTATCTATATTCAAGTGGATGATGACACTAAAAGAGTGTAGGCTATAACCAGAAAGAAATAGAGGAAGAATATTCTTGATGACCTATCAAATTGCTTTATTGCAACTCAATACACTTTCAAGGTATATAAAATGGTAATTACAAATATATCTCCTATTTCATAGTTAAAGCACAAATATTTAAATTATTGACAAGAGCACAACTCCTTCACTGTTGATTCTTCTCATGGGTATCACATTTTAGACAGATACTGACACACATAAACAGCAAACAACCCAAACTAAATCATTGGTTTCATTGATATGGCCATGTTTAGCAGATAGCACCAATCATTAGCCTGGGTACCAGTCTGTTTGTGCCATCAAGCCACTCCTTGTCATGCCAAACATGACAAGGAGTTGACATGATAGCACAAACAGATCTGGGACTAGGCTAACCAATCATAGCACCATTGGAACAATTCCGTAATATGATAAGATGAAAAATAGACAAGCTATATATAACACTAATGCGACAAGGTTGTTGGACAGCTATGGTTTGGTACATTACATTTGTTAGGTGGGTGGCTACATGCTGTTGTACAGTAGGGTACAGTACAGAATGATACAGTATGCTGAGACATCATTAACAGTCAGAAGGACGTGAACAACTATAGGACAACTGTAACAATTAATGCAGACAAGCTGGAAGTAAAGTCTGTGTAAAGTATTGATGTCTTCAGACAACACTTTCTTGAAACATGTGATACATTGTAACCATATTGATATTATATATATTGATATATTGTATAATTGTAACATATACACCCTCAAAATCAACATTGAATATAGATGAAACGAGCACTCTTGAGTATAGACCTGGATAAATATGTGTGTGATCGAAGAGAATCTTTGGGGAGAGTTCCCTCAAATGGTGTGTGTTTGTGTTTATGTATGTGTGTGTGTGCGTGCATAATTGTAGGTGTGTGTGTGTGTTCTGAGAGAATCTTTGGGGTCCCCTCAGATGGGAGAAGGGGCCCGCAGAGTGCTGGTGAGGGCGGAGTCTCCGAACACGTTGGCGTAAGAGGCTTTGAGGAACTGGACGTAGTTCTGCAGACTCCTGTTGGTGCTGTCCGACTGCTCCAGACGATCCTTCACATCCTGAAGACGGGACTGGTACCGCCGCTCCGCCTGAGGGAGGCGCAGACAGGTAGACAGACACACCACAGCATCATCAATGCTATTATTAAAATTAATATTCTTTGATTTCTAAAGTGTGTGTGCCAGGATGAGTATTTTCATGATTCACTATGTCTTTGACCGCAATAGGTTTAAGAGATTATAATCAGAGTTTACGATAGAGATGTGTATTTCTAAAACACTCCCCCTCACCTCCTCTTTGCTGCGGCGGAGGGTGGTGAGTTCTGTGGCGGTCCTGCTTAGCTGGGTCTCCAGTTCCACCACCTTGGACTGGGTGGAGCGCTCTTTCGTGACCGCACGCTCCCGGGTCTGGGACACCTAATACAATAATAATAATATGCCATTTAGCAGACACTTTTATCCAAAGTGACTTACAGCCATGCGTGCATACATTTTATGTATGGGTGGTCCCGGGAATTGAACCCACTATCCAGGAGTTGCAAGCGCCATGCTCTACCAACTGAGCTACAGAGGACCACCTATACACCAGGACTGAGATACTCCATCAGACAGAGCAACTGACAGGGAAGAAAATGACAAAGTCAGTGTAAACTAATGTTGTTCTGTGAGTATTCACAGTGCTAAAACTTAAAACAACCAAATCACTCAATTCAATACTCGCATTTCAATTTCCCACCCAGCTATTCCCCAGGTAGCCAATCCCCAGCCCCCCTCTCCCCATGCCTTGAGGGCCCAGACAGACCTGGCGTCGGGCGTCATCCAAGGCCTCCTCCAGCTGGCGGGTCAGGTGCATGCACTCGCGGGACTTCTCCTCCAGCCGGAGCTGGTTGCCATGGATGGTCTCCTCCCGCTTGGTGATCACCCCCACCAGGTCCCTGTTCTGACAAGTGGCCTCCTCTAGCTTCCTGTAAGGGAGAGACGGGATGGGAAGGAGGGATGGGCTATAAGACCCAGGTATGTTCACACATACACACACCACACAAACACGGTATACATAACACACACACACAGGGGGTCACGTATCCGCCAGGCCACAAACTAACAATGTATGAGCTCACTGTACTGTAAATTGGATAAAAGAGTCTGTATATATTATGTATCATACTACATACGCACGCACGCACACACACACACACACACACACACACACACTGTGTGTGTGTTTACTGTTCAGTGTGCTATGATATTGGCTCTGGAATGGCCGCAACCGTCTGACCTCTCCAGACTCTCCACACGGTGTTGCAGCTGTTTGTTCTCCTCCAACAGGACCGAGTTTTTCTGTCTCACCAGCTCCACCTGGCTGCCCTGCTGTTCGACCTAGACACAAAACATCTACCATTGTACTATTATTATCATATTATTAAATTGATAAAGCCACAGTTTGGAAGATGTGCATACCATCACATTTTGTGTACAGCACACATACCCCCCCACACACACACAAACACTTTCCCCACACCCCACCCCACCCAAACATTCCCCCCAACCCCCACACCTTCATGCGCAGGTCAGCCAGGGTGGTACTCAGCTCAGTGTTACATCTCTCCTGGGCGTGTTCTCTGTCCTGAGCTTCTTCCAGTAGGACCTCAGAGCGCCGCAGTGCCTCAGGAAGAGGCTCTAGCTCCGTCAGCCGGCCCAGCAGCTCCCTGCGCACCACCTCCACTTCGCTCTCCAGCTGGTCCCGGACCTGCCGCGCCTCTCGCTCTGCTTGTCCCAGCCTGGCACAGCACTCGTCCGCCTCCGCCCTTGTCTTCACCACCTGGGTGGTGGGTAATGGGTAGCATTACACAGAAAACACATTCTCCTTTCGGCACATTAAGAGTCTGTATGTGGGTACAACGTGTGTGCATACCTGTGTGTGTGTGTGTGTGTGTGTACTTACCTGGGTCTTGTAGCTGTCTACTAGGCTCTCGTATTGCTTCACAGAGGCTTTGACGTGTTGTACCTCTGACTGGGACAGAGCCAGCTTCTCCTCCACTGCAGACAACATGGCCTGAAAGAGGGGAACATATGCCTGTCAGCCTACAGTACAGAACTGTGTGTGTGTCCAGAATAATCTGACCACAAATCCATGTTATGATGCAATAAAGCGATCCAATATCTGGTCGGCTAAATCTATGGATAATTAATTACTTTCAAATCTTTGTAATGTACTGGAACCAGAACCAACCTATTTGGTACCGGGTACAAATGTAATTCTTGTAAATGAAGAAAGGACCACATAATGGGATGGTTTCCCAGACACAGAGTAAGCCTACTCCAGTATGCTCAATGAAGAATATCCATTCAAAGTGATTTTTAGTCCAACTAAAATGTATCTGTGTCTGGGAAAACTGGCCTAATAATTCCAAGTGTTAGTCCATTGTCACCACTGACCTTGAGGCTCTGGTTCTCTAGCTTGGCGTGGGTGCCCTCTGTGGTGAGGCTGTGCAGGCGGTCCAGGAGCCCCTCTCTCTCAGCCCGGGCCTTGTCCTCTGTCCCATGGAGCTGCCCTGTCAGGTCTGACACTCGGCTGCACACACAGGGTATGGTCAGGATGATAAAAATTGGATTATAAAAGGTTTTTATGTCAGCTGGGCTTTAGCTTAGACCATAAATGTACAATTTGACCATATTCATGATTGTTCTAGATGCTGTGTTCCCTCTTATTCTGAGAAAAACTGAAGCGACTCTCTTTCTCTCACCTGTTGAGGACTGAGACCTCCATCTCTAGCTGAGCCTTGTCCTTCATTTCCTGGGCGTGGCGACCACGCCAGTTCTCTGCTGCTGATAGGGCCTCTACCATCTGGTTCTCCTGTGTAGGTAGCAACATCATCCAATATATTTGAAAAGTATTTAATCCTGGTCCTGGAGAACTGCATGGTACATCTGGCTGTAGTTCTAGCCCATTACTAACAAACGTAATTCGACTAATCATCAAGCAGTTCTTCTGTGGGACATCTTGTTCCTAAGTATTGATGGGTTTGTTCCATATCATTTAAGCAAGCCATGACACCCACCATCTCAGATTGTTCTGAAATCGTTTCTGTAGTTACACTGAACAAAAATATAAATGCAACAATTTCAAAGATTTTACCGAGTTACATTTCATATAAGGAAATCAGTCAATTAAAATAAATTCATTAGTCCCTAATCTATGGATTTCACATGACTTGGAATACAGATTGTGTACAGATCCTTGTGACATGGGGCCATGCATTATCATGCTGAAACATTAGGTGATGGCGGCGGATGAATGGCACGACAATGGGTCTGGTCACGGTATCTTTGTGCATTCAAATTGCTATTGATAAAATGCAATTGTGTTCGTTGTCTGTAGCTTATGCCTGCCCATACCATAACCCCACCACCACCATGGGGCAGTCTGTTCATCAGCAAACCGCTCGCCCACACAACAGTTGAAACCGAGACTAATTCGTGAAGAGCACACTTCTCCAGCCTGCCAGTGGCCATCGAAGGTGACCATTTGCCAACTGAAGTCATTTGCGACGCCGAACTGCAGTCAGATCAAGACCCTGGTGAGGACGACGAGCACGCAGATGAGCTTCCCTGAGACGGTTTCTGACAGTTTTAGCAGAAATTCTTCGGTTGTGCAAACCCACAGTTTCATCAGCTGTATGGGTGGTTGGTCTCAGACGATCCCGCAGGTGAAGAAGCCGGATGTGGAGGTCCTGGGCTGGTGTGGTTTGGAAAATTTCTGGGATCTTTTATTTCAGCTCATGAAACATGGAATCAATACTTTACATGTTGTATTTATACTTTTGTTCAGTGTAAAAACAGATAAGATTAGCATTCCTGCAACATTGTTTTGTTGAAATATAATTTGATCTAAGTGAAATTAAGCTAGTTGGCCATATTAATGTATAGGATAACGTTCAATAAATATAATACCTAACATCCAAAAGCCACCCACACCAATCCCAACCTAACAACAAGTATACAGTATCACTTCTCTATGTCTGACAAGTAGTATGGAGCTGCGGCTTGGCGTATTGTTTCTTCATCCTATGTAATGCATTCTCAGTGAATTTAGTGATTTTGTCCCCCTGTTCAGAGAAATTAGTAATTGAAGTTGTTAGGTTGATGTCCCAGCCTACATCCTGATATTACCTGGTTCTGACCACTAGATGGTGGTGTTCCTGCTATTAGGTGATAAAAAAAAAGGTATAATCCCCCAACCTCCCCAAGCATTACAAGCATATCGCTACAACCGCAATAACATCTGCTAAATATGTGTATGCGACCAATAACATTTGATTTGATCAGTTAAAGGGATAATTCACCCAAATTACAAAACGGCATATTGGTTTCCTTACCCTGTAAACAGTCTATGGACAAGATGACAGCAACCCATGCAAATCCAATGCAAGTCAATGGTACCTACAGTGCATTCGGAAAGTATTCAGACCCCTTGACTTTTTCCACATTTTGTTACGTTACAGCCTTATTCTGAAATAGATTAAATTGATTTATCCTCATCCAGCTACACACAATATCCCATAATTTATTAAAAATAAAACACTGAAATATCACATTTACATAAGTATTCAGACCCTTTACTCAGTACTTTGTTGAAGCAACTTTGGCAGTGATTACAAGCTTGGCACACCTGTATTTGGGAGTTTCAAAGGTCCAAAGAACACATTGGCCTCCATCATTCTTAAATGGAAGAAGTTTGGAACCACTAAGACTCTTCCTAGAGCAGGCCGCCCGGCAAAATTGAGCAATCGGGGGAGAAGGGCCTTGGTCAGGGAGGTGACCAAGAACCCGATGGTCACTCTGACAGAGCTTCAGAGTTCCTCTGTGGAGATGGGAGAACCTTCCAGAAGGACAACCATCTCTGCAGCACTCCACCAATCAGGCCTTTATGGTAGAGTGGCCAGACGGAAGCCACTCCTCGGTAAAAGGCACATGACAGTCCGCTTTGAGTTTGCCAAAAGGCACCTAAAGGACTCTCAGGCCATGAGAAACAAGATTCTCTGGTCTGATGAAACCAAGATTGAACTCTTTGTCCTGAATGCCAGGCATCACGTCTGGAGGGAACCTGGCACAATCCCTACGGATTGGTGGTGGCAGCATCATGCTGTGAGGATGTTTTTCAGCGGCAGGGACTAGGAGACTTGTCAGGATCGAGGGAAAGATGAACAGAGGAAAGTAAAGAGAGATCGTTGATGAAAACCTGTTCCAGAGCTCTCAGGACCTCAGACTGGGGCAAAGGTTCACCTTCCAACAGGACAACAACACTAAGCACACAGTCAAGACAACGCAGGTGGCTACGGGACAAGTCTCTGAATGTCATTGAGTGGCCGAGCCAGAGCCCGGACTTGAACCCGATTGAATATCTCTGGAGAGACCTGAAAATAGCTGTGCAGCGACGCTCTCCTTCCAACCTGACAGAGTTTGAGAGGATCTGCAGAGAAGAATGGGAGAAACTCCCCAAATACAGGTGTGCCAAACTTGTAGCGTCATACCCAAGAAGACTCGAGGCTGTAATCGCTGCCAAAGGTGCTTCATCAAAGTACTGAGTAAAGGGTCTGGATACTTATGCAAATGTTATACAAAATAAAAAATAAAAAAAACTTTCAGAATGCACTGTATATTAACTGAATATTATATGAATTCTATACATTAAAATTGCCCATTTGGATGCAATCAATTATCTTAATTTCTCAGAGATCAAATTATATTTCAACAACATTATGTTGCAAGAATGCTAATCTTATCTGTTTCTAACAGAAATGATTTCAGAACAATCTGAGATGGTCGGTGTCGAAATCCTCTTTCTTTTGCTTTTTGAGGTGAAACGACCCTGATCCAAAGGTCAGTTTTTGTACCTCTTTTCCACCGCTTAATAATAAGGATTAGACAGAACTGATCCTAGACCTGTTCTAAGAGGTAGGTCACCATCTCCCTTCTTCCACCTACCATGTCCAGTAGCTGGGCGCTGAGCTGCCCGGCGGTGTCTTCGCTGCGCTCCGCCCGGTGTTTCTGGGCCCGCGTAGCCCTCTTCAGGGCCTCTTTGTCGGACTCCGCCTGAAGTTTCAGACCCCGCAGCTGCTCCAGCAGGTGATCCATCTCTCCCTGCTGCTGGTTGGCCGCACGCTCCAAGTTCTGGACCAATCAGAAAGGAGTGGATAAAAAACAGGAAGACATTTTGTTTGTAGCCTCCACCACCAACCACCAACCCCCAACCCCACCCATCCAATATGTCTCCCCTACAACCACCTACCCACCCACCCCACCTGGAAACCATGTTTTCCACTCATTTACATTTTAGTCATTTAGCAGACGCTCTTATCCAGAGCGACTTACATTTTTCATACTGGCCCCCCGTGGGAATCGAACCCACAACCCTGGCGTTGCAAGCGCCATGCTCTACCAACTGAGCTACAGGAGGCCTTCCCATCCCCCCCAGTACCCCTTACCCTTGGGCCTGAAAGCAACAATTATAATAATAATGAAAATAGCTACATACTGTATACTTTGTTTGTATGTTTGGGCTTCATAGATTGTTCATTTGTATGTGTTGGGCTTTAGCTGAGATTATTCTTTACATAGTCAAGTGTATTTTTTCCGGCCTCAATTGTTTTTTGACATTCATTCTCGCTGTCGATATTCTAATATTGTAACTTCTAATAGTAACGGTATCCACTGGCGAATTGGGAGAGAATGAGATGATTGCCATCTAAGAGCCAACATATTTTTTGCGGCAGTGCTACCTGGCAACAGTAATTGTCTCTATGATTTATTGTGAGATTCAAGGAGCTATCATCGTTGAGTAACATAGTAGATGCAAAGCACTGAATATTTACAGTTGAAGTCGGAAGTTTACATACACCTTAGCCAAATACATTTAAACTCAGTTGTTCACAATTCCTGACATTTTATCCTAGTAAAAATTCCCTGTCTTAGGTCAGTTAGGATCACCACTTTATTTTAAGAATGTGAAATGTCCGAATAATAGTGCAGAGAAGGATTTATTTCAGCTTTTATTTCTTTCATCGCATTCCCAGTGGGTCAGAAGTTTACATACACTCAATTAGTATTCTGTAGCATTGCCTTTAAATTGTTTAACTTGGGTCAAACATTTTGGGTAGCCTTCCACAAGCTTCCCACAATAAGTTGGGTGAATTTTGGCCCGTTCCTCCTGACAGAGCTGGTGTAACTGAGTCAGGTTTGTAGGCCTCCTTGCCCGCAAACACTTTTTCAGTTCTGCCCACACATTTTCTATAGGATTGAGGTCAGGGCTTTGTGATGGCCACTCCAATACCTTGACTTTGTTGTCCTTAAGCCATTTTGCCACAACTTTGGAAGTATGCTTGGGGTCATTGTTCATTTGGAAGACCCATTTGCGACCAAGCATTAACTTCCTGACTGATGTCTTGAGATGTTGCTTCAATATATCCACATAATTTTCCTTCCTCATGATGCCATCTATTTTGTGAAGTGCACCAGTCCCTCCTGCAGCAAAGCACCCCCACAGCATGATGCTGCCACCTCGTGCTTCACGTTTGGGATGGTGTTCTTCGACTTGTAAGTTGACCCCTTTTTCCTCCAAAAATAACGATGGACGTTATGGCCAAACAGTTCTATTTTTGTTTCATCAGACCAGAGGACATTTCTCCAAAAAGTATGATCTTTGTCCCCATGTGCAGTTGCAAACCATAGTCTGGCTTTTTTATGGCGGTTTTGGAGCAGTGGCTTCTTCCTTGCTGAGCGGCCTTTCAGGTTATGTTGATATAGGACTCGTTTTACTGTGGATATAGATAATTTTGTACCTGTTTCCTCCAGCATCTTCACAAGGTCCTTTGCTGTTGTTCTGGGATTGATTTGCACTTTTCGCACCAAAGTACGTTAATCTCTAAGAGACAGAACACGTCTCCTTCCTGAGCGGTATGACGGCTGCGTGGTCCCATGGTGTTTATACTTGCGTACTATTGTTTGTACCGATGAACGTGGTACCTTCAGGTATTTGGAAATTGCTCCCAAGGATGAACCAGACTTGTGGAGGTCTACCATTTTTTTTTCTCTGAGGTCTTGGCTGATTTCTTTTTGATTTTCCCATGATGTCAAGCAAAGAGGCACTGAGTTTGAAGGTAGGCCTTGAAATACATCCACAGGTACACCTCCAATTGACTCAAATGATGTCAATTAGCCTATCAGAAGCTTCTAAAGCCATGACATCATTTTCTGGAATTTTCCAAGCTGTTTAAAGGCACAGTTAACTTAGTGTATGTAAACTTCTGACCCACTGGAATTGTGATACAGTGAATTATAAGTGAAATAATCTGTCTGTAAACAATTGTTGGAAAAATTACTTGTGTCATGCACAAAGTAGATGTCCTAACCGACTTGCCAAAACTATAGTTAGTTAACAAGAAATGTGTGGAGTGGTTGAAAAATTAGTTTTAATGACTCCAACCTAAGTGTATGTAAACTTCCGACTTCAACTGTATATTCATGCACTTCGAAAGGAATTTTGTAACTTTGTCCCAGAAGCATTTAACTGCAGGGCACTCCTACATCATATGAAGGAATGTGCCTACCTGATTTATGGGACACAGTGAACAGTTGGGAGTTTTCGTAAAACGTTTCCTTGGTGTTAAATACAGTCTGTGAACAAACTTAAAATGTATAAGTAGATGGTTCGGATTACAGGATGCCAAGGTCATATTTTTCTATATTCTGTTCCAGGTTAAAGGGTTGATTCATATTCACTTGCATCTGTGGACCATACCTTTTTAATGGCTAGCTCAGAATATGAGCTTTCCAAAAGTTATTATATATTATAGAGATCAGTCCTTTTGGGAGCCCAGAAAATGTATTTATAAATCCCATCATTGGATGGTTCCGTAGTTGGGCTTCCCAAGGGACTCCATAGGCCAGCATAGCTGACCTAAATTGTAAGTATAGAAAAAAGGAGTTGCCTGGTAATGTGTACTGAATGTGTCTTTCAAACCTTGAAATGTTCTCAAACCATTACTGTCCATCAGTGGAGGCTGCTGTTTGATACCATTCCATGTACTCCATTCCGGTCATTATTATGAGCCGTCATCCCCCCAGCAGCTTCCACTGCTGTCCATGATATTGGCAAGGATACGGATTCCACATTTGGACCATTGGGGGGATGCAAAAGGCATCCAGACTGGAAGGCATTATTGTGAAATATTGGAGTATGGGCATGCCATTTTGATTCCCAGTTAAGTATTTTAAAATGTTTAAGCCAAATAGAGATTGTGTGAGCAATAATAGGAACAAAGCATAGTTTACATTGTTTAAGGCATATATCAGTGAAGACCACCTCTTCCAGGGCAATAGGAAACGCCATATTTATCGCTATACTCAGCCAGGGGGCGGTAGAATCATGTCAAAACCAATTTAGGATGGGACAAAATTCTAGTGCCTGGAAATTCAATTTAAAGTTTGGTACGGATAGTCCTCCTACATCTTTGTAAGTTTGTTCATTTTATCCGGGATCGCTTACTTTGCCATATAAATTTCGAAACCACACTATGGATTTTTTCCCAATAGCCAGAAGGGGGAGACAAGATTACAGAAATTCAGCAATGGAAATACAGGGCATTCGGAAAGTATATACTCCCGAGTGGCGAAGTGGTCTAAGGCACTGCATCGCAGTACTAGCTGTGCCACTAGAGATTCTGGTTCGAGTCCGGGCTCTGTCGCAGCCGGCCGCGACCGGGAGACCCATGGGCGACGCACAATCGGTCCAGCGTCGTCCAAGGTAGGGGAGGGTTTGGCCGGCAGGGATGTGGATTCGTTTCCCACGGGGGGCCAGTATGAATAAAAAAACAAAACATGTATGCATTCACTAACTGTAAGTCGCTCTGGATAAGAGCGTCTGCTAAATGACGTAAATGTAAAATGTATTCAGACCCCTTGACTTTTTCCACATTTTGTTACCTTACAGCCTTATTCTGAAATTGATTAAATAGTTTTCCCCCCTCATCAACCTACACACAATACCCCATAATGACAAAGCAAAAACTGGTTTTTAGAAATGTATTTAAAATAAAACATTGAAATATCACATTTACATAAGTATTCAGACCCTTTACTCAGTACTTTGTTGAAGCACCTTTGGCAGCGATTACAGCCTTGAGTCTTCTTGGGTATGACGCTACAAGCTTGGCACACCTGTATTTGGGGAGATTCTCCCATTCTTCTCTGCAGATCCTCTCAAGCTCTGTCAGGTAGGATGGGGAGCATCACTGCACAGCTATTTTCATGTCTCTCCAGAGATGTTCGATCAGGTTCAAGTCTGGGCCACTCAAGGACATTTAGAGATTTGCCCCAAAGCCACTCCTCCTTTGTCTTGGCTGTGTGCTTAGGGTCTTTGTCCTATTGGAATGTGAACCTTCACCCCAGTCTTAGGTCCTGAGCGCTCTGGAGCAGGTTTTCATCAAGGATCTCTGTACTTTGCTCCGTTCATTTTTCCCTCGATCCTGACTAGTCTCCCAGTCCCTGTGGTTGAAAAACATCCCCACAGCATGATGCTGCCACCACCATGCTTCACTGTAGGGAGGGTACCAGGTTTCCTCCAGAAGTGATGCTTGGCATTCAGGCCAAAGAGGTCAATCTTGGTTTCATCAGACCAGAGAATCTTGTTTCTCATGGTCTGAGAGTCTTTAGGTGCCTTTTGGCAAACTGCAAGCGGGCTGTCATGTGCCTTTTACTGAGGTGTGGCTTCCGTCTGGCCACTCTACCATAAAGGCCTGATTGGTGGAGTGCTGCAGAGATGGTTGTCCTTCTTGAAGGTTTTCCCATCTCCACAGAGGAACTCTGGAGCTCTGTCAGAGTGACCATCGGGTTCTTGGTCACCTCCCTGACCAAGGCCCTTCTCCCCCGATTGCTCAGTTTGGCCGGGCAGCCAGCTCTAGGAAGAGTCTTGGTGGTTCCAAACTTCTTCCATTTAAGAATGATGAAGGCCACTGTGTTCTTGGGGACCTTCAATGCTGCATACATTTTTTGGTACCCTTCCCCAGATCTGTGCCTCGACACAATCCTGTCTCGGTGCTCTACAGACAATTCCTTCGACCTCATGGCTTGGTTTTTGCTCTGACATGCACTGTCAACCGTGGGACCTTATGTAG